ATTAGCCCTCTCTTTATTCTTGCTATCCTTTTGCTTACTCTTCTTGTACTCTTCATCAGAATCATCCTCAGAATCAGATTGAGATGTAACGCCACTGATATTCTCACCATTCATTGCCTCAACCTTTAAATTTAATTCAACCGTATTTTCAGCGCCGATTTGTTCCTGTTTGGAATTTGTAATAGACTTCGCGTTATCTTCCGAAATTTTGGATTGTTTATTAGATTCTTCGGTAGATGCATCTTCAGATAAAATTGACGTTTGATTATTGCTCTCCGTTTGTACCCTTATTGTTTTCCCAGTCTTCTTTGGGGCTTTGCTGCTAATTTTGTTACCACTTTTGATAGCTTTCTTATTATCCTGTAATTTTGGTTGAAGACTCTCCTCTTTGCACTTATCGGAATCCTTGTCTTCTTCAATTTCGCTTTTAATGCTGCTCACTTCTGGTCCTTGACAAGTCTCATTTTTGTTCGCGATCTTTTTATGTTCGGTCGAAACTTGGTCAAACTCTTTCAATTCAATTTTCTTCTTGGTCATAATCTTCTCCGTTATAGTTTTCAACTTGTCTTCCCTTTTTAGAACAGCACTGATCTTCGAATGCTTCTGAGGCAATTTGGCTTTCATGTGTTTCGCCAGCTTTGGTTTTTTCTCTTGCAAAGTCTTACTCTTAGCCAAGTTACTACTCTTCTTCTTCACTTTCTTGACTGCATCTTCATCTTCGTTCATTTCTTCATCTTTCACTGGCTTGACTAACTTGATCTTCTTGTCCACCAGTCTCTTAACTACCGATAAATGAGGCTTCTTTGTCAGAACTGTTTTTCTCGTAATACCTTTTTTCTGATTTTGTTTTGTTTTGGAATCTTTCTTCGTTTTAGAAATCTTATTGCTTGCCAAATCCTTCTCAGAAATTTTTTTACGTTCAGACTTTTTATCCTTCACGATGGAGTTCTTCGATATTGATTTAATGTCAGATTTAATTAACTTGACATCTTTCTTCTTCTCATCTTTACTCCTTTTCTTAGCTGGGGGAGGGAGAATATCAATTTTATTTTCAAGTGCTTCTTTATCTTCCAATGTATTTAAAGATTTGACATTGTCTTCGGTATTTGTATTATCGTCCAATTTAACATTCTTCTTCTTGTCCTCAGTTTTCTCAATTTTCTTTTTATTATCCGCAGATTGTTTTTCCAATTTTGCTTTCTCTTCACATCTTTGTAATTTTTTCTTATCCGTATTTTCTTGGCTCATCTCTTCGTTAACTTTATCATCTCTTTTTTCTGCCTTCCTCTCGTCAATTTTATCAGATTTCTTTTCATTATCCTTATTCATTTGTTTTTTCTTTTCATCTAATTTATCAAATCGTTCCTTCTTTTTCTCCTCTATAAGTTTCTTTTTGTCATCCAATTTTTTCCGCTCCTCGGCCTTTTCTAATTTCTTCTTATCATTGTCCGTTTTTCTCTTTGGATCTTCCAGCTTATCATTTTTCTTTGATTTCTTCTCCTTTTTTACATCCAGCATGGTCTTTTCTGTAAATGTGCGACGTTTCTTGGCGACTGTTGGCATTTTAGTTGCCTTTTTGGCAACAACAGCCTTCTTCTGTGGCTTCATTATGATTGTATCTTTACATCTTCAAAATAAATATAAATATGCTCGAAGTTCGCGAATGTCCAATGTTAATTACAACTACCTAACTGCCATTGTAGATTTTATTAATCGCGATATAGTTCGCAAGCTGACTTTATCTGTAAACAATGCACAATAAAATGGTCAAAAGGTAAACGCGACTAATATTACAGTTTTAACAATAAAACAGTCAATGTTCGATCGTTAATGTAATTTATCTTTATCGCTTGTTTTTTTTTTATCATTGCGATACACACGACTTTACATCGCGATAAAAAAATATTTTTCACAGAAACGAACACACGATCGGAAAGGGACACGATAAGGTATTACAAGCGCTTTTATCAACGTGCAATAAAAACGAATTTACGTACAATAAAGTGGCAAACGCACGCGAATATCGGAGCATACGCGAGAGATGCACACGAACGACGGAAATTGTAATGATACTTCACAAGCGAAGCGAGAATCCGCTATGCTGTGTCGGGCCACCGTGCGCGCACTCTCTCTCCCTCATCGACTTGTTGACAAATCGATCCCTTTAAATCACACTGCGCCCGTCGGCCGATTCGGTACCGCGACAGGTAGAGAGACTCCGCGCGATAAATAATCAACTCGCGGCACACAGCGTCCTTCTTCACTCCGGGCTTCTTGCGGAGTGTGCGCTCCGAGCGTGGCCTCCGTATACGTGTATACGCGACACGGCATGGTGGACAAAGATACTCGAGAAGTACTACGACTACGACGACGACGACGACAACGATGATGACGACGACAACGATGACGATGACGACGACGACGACGACGACGACGACGATATCTACACGGAGGATGAAGCGAGAAGAAACGCAGACGGCGGCTACACGGCGACGGCTAGCACACCCTTTAAAAAGCGCCCGTGAACTGACACGGCCACAAGTGGCCCTGACAAGTGTGCGAGAGAGATAGGGACAGATAGAGAGAAGGAGAGAAAGAGAAAGAAGAAACTCACCAACCTGCTGATCGATCTCAATCGTCACACGCGGAGAGAATCTTCACAGACGGCGATCGCGCGCGGTCGGCGCGGCGACGCGATCGCGAACAACACACGCACACGCTTTAGCGACGAGGAGAGAACGCGGGAGAACTGAAAACGGGACGGGACGGGAAGAACGGCAGAGACCAGGCGGAGGCGCCAGTGTAAACGGGGGTGTCGTGTTTACCTCTCTGGCGAGCCCTTCCGTCGGCTAAACTCGGCCCGCGAACACTTTTTTTTTAAACGGCGAATCGGGGCGCCCGAGAGCGATTGGTGGGCGCGCTGAGCGACGACGGCACCAGCGAGGAACGGGCACCGCGAATCCTGATATACGTGATATACGATCGCGAGATTTCTCGACGAGACGCGCGATCGCGAACAATGGCGGTAGGCCTTCCCCGGCGGTGGTATCACGGCCCTTTTTCGCGCGGTCTATCGCGAAACTGACGATCTCGCGTCGCGCAGCGCGCACCTCGCACGACGTCCCTGCCCTTTTACCGTAGCCTCGTCGGCCATTTTCTTCCTCGCGCCGCTCCCCCACTTCTCCCACTCAAAATCCGCTGTCACGTAGTGACACTAGTGACGGAAACGCGACTTACCGACCGATCGTCAGATGGCAGCATCTCGCGGTCTGTGGGGCGAACGGCAAACGTCAAGCGCCGCTGCTCCAGCTGATATCCATTTCTACTAATATATACATATATATAGACATTGGCGGATCCACAAAGGGGGCCATGATTCTCTCTTTGGAGTCCCCTTTTTTTATTTTGAAATCTTTAATATTTTGAAGATGCTAATCACAATTTTGATTTTTCAAAAATAAATTATAAAGTGAAATGAGGGTAATTAAGAGTAAACGCAATTAACTATAGCGTATATCTATTAACATATATTATTACATAAAAGTGATTATTTTATACATAGTTTCTTGATTAACAATACATACAAACCTTTCGACTTATATTTAAATTTAAGCCATCCTCAGCATATACAACAGTAAATTGAAGTCATGGATTCTTGGTGGTTCTGAGTTAATTGTATAATTTGAACATTGTTAAGGAGTTCTTTCTCAATGTTCAAATTGTACAATTAACTCAGAACCACCAAGAATCCATGACTTCAATTTACTGTTGTATGCGCTGAGGATGGCTTAAATATAAGTCGAAACATTCGTATGTATCGTTAATCAAGAAACTATATATAAAATAATTACTTTTATGTAATAATATATCTTAATAGATATACGCTATAATTAATTGCCCTCATTTCACTTTATAATTTATTTTAAAGAATCTGAGAGCCAAAGGTTAAATTAAATATTTGTATTAATTTTGTAAATTTCAAAAATATTTTTTAATTTAAGAAACTCTTAGATACAAAAAATATATTCTATTATGCATATTATTCTTTTTTTGTGTTAATATAAATTTTAAATAAGACATTTTATGAATTATATATTTGGATAATATTTTTTTAATGTAATAATTTAAATAATAATTTAATATTCTATCTTTTCATATTTGACTTTTAAAAAAATATTATTTGTGGAGTACCAATATAGCCACTTCAATAACAAATTCTGGATCTGCCAATGAATATAAACTAATTTTAATATCCCGGTTTAATTAATTTTTATATCTTTTTTTTAATTCTTAGAACTAGAAAAAGGTAAAAAATAAATTAAACTAGAATTAAAGTTAATCTTAATGTAACTTACTTTTTACATTGCTAGAAACGAGCTAGAAGTGAGTCGCATTATTTTCGCGATATTTTTACATGACATATTGATGATAACGCAACATTTTTAACTATACGTGTAAACGTGTGATCAATATTTCCACTGACATTACAATGGATTATAATTAGACATTGCGAATTTAAAAAGATATATATCACATAAATTAAACATTTTTCTCTGTCCTCATGTGCGCTTATTGTTAATGCAATTTCGTATTTTGTTACATGCAATAATAACATTTCCGACTGCAGTGAAATGATTTACTGTGTAAATTATATTGTGTATCCTTGCTGGAAAATGCCCATTATCTTTTATATACTTGAATCGAATTAATAAATCTGCTTGTATAATTGCTTGCATTTTTTACACTTAAATTCTTTGCTTTGTTAAAAATTTTTGGGGATTTCAAACACACGGAAAAATCTAATACCCATATGAATATCGGAAGCCAATTCCTAGGTAGAATACAAAGTCAAATTAAGACATAGGGATGTCATCATAATTATTAGTTATTTGATACTTAAAAATGAACTTATAAAGTGTTATGTCAATAATAAACTGATCATGATAACATTTTAACAATATGATTATAATTTTTATATTCTATTCTTTTGTATTATCGAGACAAATACGAAATGCCGCGAAGAAGAAGAAATCGAATGAAATTTCGTCCCTGGAACAAACTCGGGACCAACTTCACGTGGTTCTAGTGACATTTCGTTGGAACGAATAATGTTGGCTGTACGCAGCAATCTCAGCAGCTTCAGGTTAAATGGAGCACAAGTGTTTTGTGTTGATTGTTTAAATTCTTGCAATAGCAATGGAGTGTATAGTAGCAAATGTGGAACATATGCGATTTGACATTGAGGTTGCTCTCGACGAACAGTATGGAGCTCTTCCGTTACCTTTCACCGGCATGGACAGTATGTTTTTTTACAATATAATTTTTATAACAGTTGCTTGTGTTAGGTTAAGTTTGTGTAACGTAATTTCATATTTATCTAAACCATTTTATTCCAATTTATTATATATACAAACTATTATTTACTATATCAATACTGCAATTTTTTTAAACGGTTTTCCCTTTAGTAATAACATTTATCGGAATTTTCGAGTAATAAGCAATAATTTCCATCTTATGTTTACTTAGAAAATACAGTATGATTTCGTTAAAAGAGAGAATAGATCTATTTTATATGTTAATGATGTAAAACTTTTAAATAAATAATCTTCTCTCCCTCTTCAATTTACAGAATCAATTGCCGCAGTATGCCAGTTTTATCCAAAAGGCAGTTGTAACAAAGGAGCTTCGTGTCCTTTCAGGCATGTTCGAGGCGATCGCACGATAGTATGTAAACATTGGTTAAGAGGTCTTTGCAAGAAGGGTGATCAGTGTGAATTTCTGCATGAATATGATATGACAAAAATGCCAGAATGCTATTTTTATTCTAGATTCAGTAAGTAGTTTGATATATTTATATTATAATTATTTTCCTTTCATTGTAAGTACTTTACTTGAACATTTCAATATAAATGATCTGAATGATTCAATGCAACATTTTATATATTTGAATTGTACAACCATACATATATCAAATTATATTTAAACAAAATAAATTATTATAGATGCATGTCACAATAAAGAATGCCCATTCTTACACATCGATCCGGAGACAAAAGTGAGAGATTGTCCATGGTACGATCGTGGTTTTTGTAGGCATGGTCCCTTATGTCGACATCGGCATGTCAGACGTGTTCTATGTATGGCTTATTTAGCAGGTTTTTGTCCTGAAGGGCCAAATTGTAAATTTATGCAGTAAGTATATACAAAAGACGTAAGTCTTTTATAGAAATCTACTTTGAATTTCATGAATATGTATTTGCAATATAATCTGTTTTTATATAGTCCAAGATTCGAATTACCGGCAATACAAGATATGCAACCAAAAGAGGGCAAAAAAGTTATGATTACTTGTCACTTTTGTGGAGAAGGAGGTCATAAAGCGATCTATTGCAACAAAATGCCACCCGATGTACGGGAAGCTCAAGTTAGACAGGAACTCGACAATGATTCTCGTACATCGCATCATCATATGAATATACATAATGGACCACCGCCGTCACGAGGGCCGCAAAAACCACTCGAAGAAGTGACGTGTTATAAATGTGGACAGAAAGGTCATTACGCTAATAAATGTCCAAAAGGCCATTTAGCATTTTTGAGCCATGCAAGTATTCATGCAAGTGGAGGTGGTGGACAAAATCAAAATTATCGGAGGTGATTTTCTTTGTTTTATTTATGTAACATGGATATTGTGATGCTACTTTATCTCATTATTATCTTTAAAAATTTCTATTATACAATAAAATAATTTATCATATGTGTCAACCTAATATGTGTTAATTGCCGCTTTTACGATGTTTCAACGATAACCAAAAGCATTTTCATGCTTTTCTTTTTAGACATAACATCAACATTTAAAAATCTAATATAAAAAATGAAAAAGCAACTTGCATTTAAGCGGGTTCTTTAATACTAACAAGTTTTATGTTAAACTATAACAAATCAAAGTATTTATTCTAAAAATTATAAATGTTTAAATACGTAGCTGTTACAGTTTTGCAGTAACACAGTTGCGTTCACGTATAAGATGCATTTTAGTTATTGCTATATCAGCGTCTGATACAGGGTGTTATAAAAAGATATATGTTTATATATAATATAAGATTAATTGTGGATAAAACCTGTATGACCTACTGGGAAGACATACATTTTTTACTAGTTATGATTAACATTCAATTATCTCTTTACAAAGATTTTATAATCAAATTTTTACTAACTCACTCCTTGCGTAAATGCTTGAAAATAAAAAAAAAACAATGACATGGAAGGCGCGAAAATAGTACGAAGACATACGTTTCAATTGTTATATGCTACTCGCGTTTCAATTACAAAATTTTCTTCTAATTCAGAATTATTTCATCACGTAGTTCAATTTTACTTATATCTAGAAATTTGATAACATTTATCAGGGATAAGCTGATACTGATCTTACATACAAGTGGTTTCATGTAATTATGAAGAAAATGAAAACGATCTTGATAAATTTTTTCAAAAGCATATCTTATCATGTTGTATTGTACTCGATAACTTCAACGTAATTAGCGGGGAAAAGTCCGTATGTTCCATCAGGTCCAAGTCCTTGCCACCAGCCTTCGTCAATTGCATCTATATGTGTAATTATATCTCCAGGATCAAATGTGATTTCTGTGTCGTCAGCAGCTTGATAGTCATACAAAGCTCTAGCTTTCATTCCCTCGTTATTCGGATCAAAATATAAGTACGAGCCATCTAATTGATTGTATAATTCATTTTCGGTGACTTGCTCTTTAGTCTCTGCCGTTTGTTCCGATTGTGGATTGATGGTAGTTTTCAATTCTTGATTGGTATTTTGAGATTGAGGCACTGTGGACGAAGAAATCGTCACTGTTTCCGCACTTGTAGGTTTTTTCGCTTCGGCCGATGTCTCCTCGCGAGACTTTACATCAGGCTGGTCTTTTATCTGAGCTTCTTCCAACGCTTTTCTCATAGACTCCACATGATTGTTCTTAGGTAAAAATTGTTGTGCCGAAGTCGTCTTCATCTGGCCGGCCGCCGAATTCTGTTCAAATATCGCTCGAGCGTTTATTGTTCTTTGAGCAATCAATTGTTGCGTTTCTTTGCTCCTTTGTCTTCGTAATTCTTCACTTCGCGATTTATGATCATCTTCAACATCACTGTTGTAATTTTGAGCAGCTTTTTGATTGCGTAAATTGTTTGCCTCTTCAGCACGCTGCTCGGCCAGTTTTTGACGAGCGATTGAATTTTCCTTAGCAGTTACCTGAAACAATATTTCATATGTGTGAATCTAGATAATGTATATAATATTTAATATACATATAAGACATATAAGACATATATAATCAAAATAAATGAAAAATATAATATAATAATATTAAGACATACTTGTTGCTCCCTCAATTGTGTTTCTTTTTCTTCTCGAGCTCTCATTTCTTGTTCTAATTTCTGTCGCTCTTGTTCACAACGTAGTCGTTCTTGCTCCAATCTTTTTTTCTCTTCCATTTCTTCCTTTTCCCAAAACTGATCCCTTTCCATTGCATTTATTTCTTGTGCAGGGATCACTCTGCAAAGTATACGTTATTATATTAAATAAGAATTGCATTCTAACGATTTCACAATCACAAGATAGAAATATTAGAAACCTGCGATATGTTGTTCCAACAGGACCTGTATGTCCTTCGTTTTCACTACGAGGTTCATTAAATTTATACGCCGAAGCTGTTGCTCGCGCAAGCTTTTCCATAATTGCATCTACCTCTACATCATCTTCGGAACGTGCTGTAATTGTTATATGTGCTCCTTTCAACAATTTTTCTATATCTCTAATGTGATTGGCGCATGTTCCTTTCCTAACGATTGGAGCACCTTCCCCTTGCTATAAGTAAATATTTTGTCAAGTAAATAAGTTATTATAAAATTTATGAAAGTTCTGATTATGTTTTTTTGTAATTTAATAAAAATACAAAATATATTGTTTTATAAATAAATTTCTATATATTTTTTTCATCCTTACCCAATTAATAAGCAAACACTTTGGTAAACTCGTTTTAGTGTCGATAACTCTGCAAAATGCGTACATGATGTGACTACTATTCAATCGATCAATCATCTCTTCCAATCCGCCATCTCCTGTTCCGACTACTTTTAAGTTATTGGTTTGTCCTTCGTAGCCAAACACAGCCCTATTAAAAATAAATATAAAAATTCTTAATTATAAAGAATAATCAATTGAGTAAAGATTTATAAGATATATATTGTAAAATTTGAATGTAAAATTTTTGGATTAAAATTATGAGTACTGTTAGTCTACTCATATCAGTCAGTGCCTAATAATTTTTCATTGCTTTTTTATCCATGAGAATATTTTATATTAAATCGATCAATTAGCAATGTGCACAATCAGATCCCTCTCAAAATTATGATCAAATTTTACATCAATAAATCATAATTTTAGCTTCAAATTGACAAAGTGAGTTAAGTATCAAACAATTAAACATGATTAGTTCTTATCCATAAATCACATCCCAATCAATCACATTCAATTGTTGTGTGAGCTAGCTGCTTCGTCTAATTTGAACATGGCCAATCATAGTCATATCTTCATGTTTTAAATATAATCTTATACTATTTTATCATTAAAAATAAATAAACGTGTTTAATATCCATCTCATACAGATAAAAGATAACATATTTAATGTATTTTTTTCTATTTGATAATAGTTGTCAAAAGCGAAAAAAAAAGTTTCAAAAGCAAATAAAAATCAAGATAGACGGACAGTAAGTAGTTTTTAAAATTAGTCCAATATTTATTCAAAATAGCAAAGTATGCAATATCGGAGTATACGTTTGAATTCAAAATTGTGAACTCTATACTGACGGAAAATAACCGGCTAACTTAACGTTTATACATATGTGTGTGTGTGAACAAATATGCCGAACCGATTCGGTGCTACACGCCGGATCGAGGAAATACAAGAGATTTAAGTATACGCCTACCAGTTAGTAGACAATTTATCGTCGACCACGCTGTGCCAAGCTGCCACCAAGGCATCTTTGTTTTTCGTCAGATTAATTGACATTGTTCCTCGCTAAATTATCAAGTTCATAACAAGTTCCGGGGCGGATTCAGGTGGATTCGATAAACGGGAGGAACCGCACAGATTATACAAGTATATAGACGGCAAACTCCCGATCTGCTGTGGAAGGAGCGTTTTAAACGCCTCCTACAGACAAGAAATCGGCCATTATTCAATAAGACTGATTTCTAACAATAAAACGTGCTATTGTTATAAATTTGTTTCTTTTTAATAGTCTCTTTTTGATTATTCAGGTTTCCATCACAATGTTTTATTTATAGACTAACTTTATATTTTAATTGTAATGTTGTAACCTATCTTCGCTTTTTCTCTTTTCGGACCAAATACGTATCTATCTCATTTTAAGTTTAAAATTTTTTGGGTAGCATTTATATATTTTTGGATAATATTTTTCATATCCACACAACTTGCATAGACAAAATTATCCAATCGTATTTTACGTACGTTCTTATGAAAGAGAAAAAGTGATTGGATAATTTTCTCTAGGAATATGCAAGTCGAGTGGACTGTGGATATATCCTAAATGTTCTTAAATAATTCGATGGCACCTGTGACCCTGTGACCTGTGATAAGTGATTATATGTAAATACAATATCAATTCGTAAGATTTTTCTTCTTTTCTTTCCTTAAATATTTTTATTTACCTGATGTAATTGTTTGAAAAAATAAAATTTAAGGAGTAGAATACAAAATAACCAACACTGTTGACTTACGATCTTATATAAAAGTTTGTAACACGTTTTGTGGAATTTCACGTGGCTTGTGTTAAAATGGAAATAGCAACGGATATAGATGAAAATAAAATTGTTCATGAAGAGATACTATCAAATATGTCATCAACATCAGAAGAAGAAAATAAAAAGATATTTCATAAAGAGATAGAATTATTAACGTCACAAGAATTAATGCATGATGAAAAATCGTCGAAAGAAGAAGTTGAGACATTACAGTTAGACAAACAATCTTCCAAAAAACACGAAGACAAACAGTCTTCCAAAGAACACGAAGTAATGATCTCTAATGAAAAGTTAGAAAAAGCCACTGAGATTCTGCAAGTAAATGAAGAAAATGATTGTGATAAACTCAACGCAATGACAACATTAGATGCAAATAAGACAGAAAACGTGATTAATAGTTGTGATGTATCTGTTGATATTCAAAATATTACCCAATTTACTCCAAAGGAAAATGCGACAACATATGAGCACTGTCATATATCTGTTTGCGAGAATGTAGAACCTGACGTTAGACAAGAAATTTTACAAAAATCTCCAGAAATTATAAAGTCTAATATTTCAAATGATACTAACATAGTACAAAATAAAGATACAAATAAACATGTAATTAATCAAGTTACAGAACTAAGCATTCATAATAATAAGATACAAGTGAACAATCCATTATTACAAAAACAAACAGGTACAAATATATATTGATTTATTAATAAAAATTTTTTATATCTACTTTTGTGTATCTCAATTTTTTTATATATCTTTTTAATTTATAATGCACAAAAATATACTACATTATTATAAGTACATTTGAAATTACAAAAAATATTTATATTGCAGTATCCTCTATATATAATTTTTTAAAATTGTATCT